TAATGAATACATCTCTAAGGCCTACTATGTCAGCAAAGGGGTGCCTCAGGGCTCGCCTCTCTCTCCTTTTCTTTTCGGGGCCTACGTGGCGGATATATTCACACCGCGAATGCGCTACTCCCCTGGGGTCCAACAATTGGTGATCTCATATGTTGATGACGGGGTCCTCATGGTGGCTGCAGAGTCTTGCAACGCTGCCCCGTACCATGCGGGGGAAACTTTTGCAGACTGTGATCGTATAGCAAGGGCTAGGGGGATGGGGTTTAGTGCCCTCAAGACCCAGTGGATCGGGTTTGGGGACAGGGCGTGGGGGGGTATGGAGTTGTTGGAAGAGATGGTTTTGCCTTCTGAGGATTTACGGGTTCTTGGGTATAGGTTTAATGTATTTTTTAATTTTTCTTCTCATGTAAAGTATTGGTTGGAAAGAGGGTTAGGTGTTAGGAGAAGAATTTCGGCGTTGGGAAGGAGGTTTGGGAGTGTTGGAGGGCTTGGGGCATGAGAGACTTACCGCTTGGTGCAGGCAGCATATCTTCCGACTGTGTATTATGGGCTTGAATTTGTAACCGACCATGGGTCATATGTGAAACAGATTCAGGTCCACGTCAACGGCTGCCTCCGATCAGTCTTCCGGACCCCCATGAGGCTGGCAAACAATATACTGCTGGCTGAGTTCGGAACACCACCTGTTGCCATCCAAGGGAGGTATCTGCAGAGGAGGTGCTACAGCCGATTTATTAACTACCGGTACTGTGATCAACACCCGTGGTTCAGTGAAATACGGCATGACTGGAAACAGGAAGGAATGGTGGCACACCGGCAGAACTCGGACAAGGAACTCACCTGCCGCCCCACGATTACGATTGGGAAGGACAAGGCGGTGATGGCTGCACGCCACTATTCGCTGTACACAGATCTCTGCAAGTTCTCGGATGTGGTTATATACACGGACGGGTCCAAGTCCGCTGAAGGGGCTGGTGCGGCATGGGCAAGTACTTTGAGACAAGCGAAGCCCTGACCTGTGTCGACGGGTGCTCGGTTCCCCCGTCTTGGAGCATTGTTGAATGCGAGCTGTTTGCAGTTGTTTGTGCACTCCGATATGCCCGAATGATGGCCAAGAGGCGCCCGGTCCATGTGTTTCTGGACTGTGTGCACGCCCTCATCCTGGTGGATGGGATGTTTCTGGAAGGAGATTCGGCTGAAATGTGGGAAGTTATGGCGCCATTGTTTAATGAGTTCAGCTATGTCAACATTAGCTGAGTTCCGGGACACATGGGCATTGACGGCAATGAGACGGTGTACAAAAAAGCTAAGGCCTGCGTGGGGCGCCCATTGCGGCCGCTGAGTTGGGAAGGGGTAAGCTTTGGGATCGGGCATGTGGCATTGGCCCGAGAATTGCGAAAAGCAGAGTGGGGTTCATGGCACGACAGGGAGGGACACGGGTATTATGCTCGTGAACCTAGGGCACCTCGACATCTTCGAGGCCTCACCCATATGGACTCCTATGTTTTACTGAGAATTCGTAGCGGGACCGGTTTGGTAGGGCATGACAGCTGTGCAGGGAAGGATGATAGACACCACTGGACTGAGTGCCCCCGCTATGCTATAGGGCGGCCCGCTAATGAGGACTTGTACAAGGATACGACGATATTGCAGTGGAAGTCCTGGTGGGTAAGCTACAGGTGGTTAGGCCTAGGAATTCCCCGGCATGTTGAGACGGTGGATGGGGAATTGGTAGTGGCAGGTAACCTCTTTGACGGCACACTGATAGTGGAAAGAAGTGGTCAGTTGGCGACGGTAGGGGACCCCACGACCTGCACCCAGTGTGAGAAGAAACATGATGGCAGTGGATACGTTCTACCGGGGTTGGTAACCATGCCGAAGAAGTGGTTTTTCTTGCCCGACCAGCGACGCTGTGATATGTCCCTGCTGTGGGACTGCGATTTCAGCGACGGCCACCCAGAAACGAGTCACCTTCACCGAACACTTTGAGAAAAAGCCCCACTATTTACGAACGTATCACGATTGGTTTTGGCATTCTCGGCACCAGCAATGGGACGAGCTGGACCTCGCGACTCGGACGTTGGTGGTTTTGCGGTGGGCTAAGACAAAAGGGTTGTTGAAAGAGGAGCGATGTTCATTTTGTGGGATGGTTCTGGCCGAGGGATACGTGGACCTGGGACTACACTATAAAAAGACGGAAGGATGTTAGGATAGACTATATGTTTCCTTTGTTGAGTATGTGGGATAGATTGTGTTGGAGGCGGATAGGGGTGAGGGTATGAGACGGTGGCTGGGTGGCGAGGTGGGAAGACGCATTAATCCGGGACAGTACTAGTTGCTGCGAGCGCCCGTGAGCCCATTTAGGTAGTGATTTTTGGGATTTATGTTTGGGGGGAGTGATTGCGAGGCGGAATAGTCTGCAGTAGTGTATTTTAGATAGATTTGTTTTATGGGGCGTGGGGGAGACTGGTCGTATGCCGGTGTCAGCGGTACTAGTATAAATAAAATTAGATTGAATTCTAAGTACTTTTTCTACTTATTACTTTAACGAATATAAAACATCTTTATGATCTTTATCTTTATTACAACGTTATTGTTACGCCAAGAAAAGTCCTTCAAGAAGACGAGTTAGAGAAAGCTTACGATAGGCGTTCCCGATAGAAGACAAAGGTCTTGTACTATCGGTAACGTAGTCAGAGGCCTAGAGCTATCGTAAGACAAGGAAAGAAGAAGACAGAAAGACAAGTATCGTTTCCTGTCGCCAAGAACTAACTATCTAGAAAGGGATCGTTACAGACTGGCTCAAAACTCTCTGCCAATTGAATAAAATCATGCCACTTGACCTCCAAGCTGACAGAATATTTCTCTCACTCATTGCCCTTGTCCTTACCTTGTGGTATATTGGATAAAAGTTACCTTTATGCATTGCCCAATTGGGTCTATGATCGTAGAAAAAGTCTTCCAACTCCTTTCGATAACTGGTTCTCATTGGTGAGAAGATTCCAATATCTAAAAGTTGAAGAACATGGATTGTATACACAGGAAGACATATCAGGTGGATGTTCATCTTAATACAGTGTTCAATGAACTCGATATTGTTCACATGAGAGCTGTGTCCATCTAAAACCAGTATTCGATAATCCTTAATTCCATTTTCTGGCCTTGTTTTTAGTTCAAAGATGTTTACCAACCACTCTAATGTGATCTGCGTTGTGGTGTACCCTGCCTTCGAGTATGTAAAATAGGCATCTGTATTCTTCTCATAGTTGATGTTACTATGATGCCCCATCAGGTGGACATTCGAGGTATGAATAATAAGAGGCGGAATCGACTTTTCATTGCCAGAAATGGCTTCCACAACTGTAACCCAAGACTGCTTCCCATCTTGCATAATCCTTGGATTCTTCCTACCAGTACGGTATAAGATTGTCCCACTATCTTCTACACCCATGGCAAATCCCTTCTCATTGGTATTACAAGTAATTTTCGGCTTGATATGATATTTGTAGTGCATATTATAGAGGTGATTGAGGTGTTCTTTGAAAGTTTCTGGATCAGTGGCAAGGGATCGCTGCTTATCCAAGGTCTTCCCAACCTTGGATTGAATATCTGGATGTCTTGTAATAAGCCAATCAACCCAATACTTCCCAATTTCTCCAGTGTTGCCTTTCATTTTCTGCAACTAGTACACCATATCTAAAACATGTCTCCAGCGGAAAGGTATTCCTCTATCATCACAGTCTTTGATCCTGTCAATAATAACACTCTCTTCAACCTTGGTAAGTAGTTGCTGCTGCTCATGAGCCTCTGGGGCAGGTGTAGTCTTATATCAAAGGCGGTTTTGTAAAGTTGTATTAGAAAGACTAAAGAGTGTGGCAATTTTACGTACTGAGAGCTCAGGATGGTCAATTCTGTACTGCAAAGCAGCTTGAATAATGCTCTTCTTATCGGCTTTCTTGGGAGCCATGAAAAATTGGATTTGGATAGCTTGTTGTTGAAAGTTTGTATAATGTAGAAGTGTTGTATTGTAACTCAAATATTTGAGAAAAATAAAGAATCTGATGATATAACAGAATAGCCTGTTTCAAGAACTTGCTGCCTTGACCTGATATTTTTCCTACATCAACCTGAGACCTATTTCCTAACTACTGGGTATTAATCTTCAGGACTTTGCTAAACCTGAGCTCCCATAACAAGCATTTATACCAGAGTGATATATGATGATTATGGGATGTCAAAGGTTTATCTTTAGATATTTTTGCATTATACTTTAAAGTTACAAGGACTGGGTCTATAGCTTTTAATATATGAAATATTAGGTCCTAAGAGCAAATGTTGGGTTGGTAGTTGCAATTTTTAATGTTTTTACAAGTAGGCCAAAACTAACCCATTTCTAGGGGTTGACCCATAACTAGGTATAATGCGTTACATTCTCTCGACAGACCTATTCAGAAAATAGCTTATTAGTACATCTTAACTAGAGGGTGCTGGTGATACCAGGAGACCAGTGCGACTATTAAAGAGCGAAGAAACCGGAACCTTAAAGAAAGGCTCTAAAGACTAAACTCCACTCGAGATTTTAAAACCCTCTGGTAAAGGCATGCTCATCCAATTCCACAAGTTCAGTTGCTTTTGCTATATCTTGGGAAAGCAGTTAGTTTTTACTTCACTTACACCCGAGGCACTGTATTCCGGTGAGAATATTGTAGATAAACCTCTTCCGTATGATTGTCTCGATCGAAATTTGGGGCAGTGCCCATTTTCTATGCAGGTATTCGTATGAACCCCCGCAAAGCTCGAACAAGACATCCTGTGTACTTTCCTCCCATCCTGAAAACCTGTGCCCGTCACGAAAAGGTTATTTGTCCCTTTGGCCATGTCAACATTTCCAATCACTTCACCATACCCTCTGAATGAACGCCTGTACTCACCTTCGGCTAAGATACCGGTATTTTAATACTGCCGGTTTCCCAATCGCTTTGTCAAATCTCATCCCTGTATTCCGTTTGTGCTCACAAAAGTTGTGTTTATATTCCCGTAATCACTCCCACTCAACCACTGCTCTCTACTATACACTCTCAATCCGTTGAACAACAAGTGCTGTCGCCCCACCTCCACCATTGCAAATTGCCGCCACGCCGTACTCTCCCGGTTCAAGAACGTACAACAATGTTGTCAGAATCCTGGATCCTGACGACCCCAATGCGTGCCCTAAACTGATCGCTCCTCCTTTAACATTGACCTTGGCAGGATCAAGGCCGAGAACCTATTTACGAAATCAGCCCTATTGCCGAAGATGAGAGGTGATCGAATAAAAGATGTTTAATTTCAAGTACCTTCTCGTTAACCTTGCTAACGACGGCAAACGCTTCGTTGATTTCCCATTTTGCAATGTCCCCAACTCCCAAACCAGCTCTCTCAAGCGCCTTAGGGATAGCAAGGGTTGGAGCTAAGGGAAAGTCGATAGGCTTTGTGGCGGCGTCGGCATAGCTGACTATTCTCACAAGCACTCCACTATTCCCCCCGTATTTCCGCGCCATAGACTTATCTCCAATGACAACCGCACTTGCTCCATCGCTGAATGTGCTCGCGTTCGCAGCTGTTATTGTACCCCCTTCCACCTGGAATGCAGGCCTAAGAGTCGGGATTTTGTCCAACTTTATAGCCTCGTATTCTTCGTCTTTCGCAATAATTACATCTCCTCTTCGTGTTGCGACGGTAACTGGAGTAACCTCCTCTGCAAAGGCTCCGGAATCCCAGGCCGTCTTTGCTCGCCGGTAGGACTCGATCGCATATGCATCCTGCTCCTCTCGCGAGATGGAAAGGTTCTTGGCGGTATTCTCGGCGCAGTTCCCCATGCTGGATTGCCATATTAGCCCAATTCCTACAACCATCCGCCAACACACCCATCACTTACTGAATCTGATCGTATACATCCCAGAGCCCATCTTTGATCAAGCCATCCTGAACTGTAACATGCCCAAATGAAGGCGTACTTCGAGGGTAATAATATGGCACTTGGCTCATATTCTCCATACCTCCAGCAACCTGTAACTTGGCAAAACCCAGCTGGACGTTCTGTGCAGCAAGCGTAACACTCTTAAGACCCGAAGCGCAAACCTTATTCACTGAAATCGCCTCAGTCGTCTCCGGTAGACCAGCGAACAAGGCAACCTGTCTGGCTGGAGCTTGGCCAAGGGACGCTTGCAACACATTGCCAAAGTAGACATCAGAGATTTCTGCAGCTGGAACACCCGCCCGAGCGATTGCCTCCCTCACAGCGTAGGATCCCAGTTGCGGGGCGGAAACGTCTTTGAATCCTCCTTGAAACTGTAGAGTATGAGCTGCTATTGGCTGTAAGCCCTTGAGTTATACAACATACCTTTCCAGTGGGAGTGCGAGCTGCAGATAAGATGTAGGCATCCTGGACCAAAGGCGACGCCGAATTGCTGAAAGCTCGAGTTCGGCAGTAGCCCACAGCGGATGGTAATTTCCGGGAGGTAACCGAACGAAGGAAGGACATTCTGGAGATTTAGAGAATGAGGAGGGTAGAGAAATGAAAAAATGAAAAAAGGGTTCCAGGCGAAAGGAACAATAGTTGGAGGGTGGAGTGGAGGAATGGAATCCCACGTGCAAGTCACCGTGGGTAAGCGAAGATCTACAAATTCCCAACCGAGTGCCGAGCCCGTTCCTACTTGAGCACAGCCGTTGAATTATGGCTGGGCTCGGCAGATCCCATCCAGAACGATGAACCGGCGCTCGAGTGCCGAGCAGGAGCACGCTAGAAAAAGCTCAACCCGGAGCAAGCAATCACGACGCCTATGAGGCTATGCTGTGGAACACACGTTGACTATTATCTTAATGCGGTTAACCACAAGTGAATTTGGCTCACCTAGAACCCTGGCAGTTATAACAGCAAATAACTGGGTAACAAGATCGTGTTTCCCTTGCGCAACTTTAAACCCTATAGGCTACACGGTAGGGTCTCCTATGGGGCAGGGATTATTTTGTGGGTTAACCTAACTTAGGCCCTGTTTGGCATGACAGAATAAAAAAACTGAGTTTTCGTGGAAATATTGGTGTTTAGCAAGCTCAAAATTATTATTTTTTTACATTAATAGGTGACATTCGTTTGGAGTATAATCAATAGTAAGATATTAATAGTATAGGTTATACTTAAAAATTGAAGTAGGAAAAAGATTTTCTTCTACTACGACCATACTATATTCAATTATCTCAATAACTCTTTAGCCATCTGTGTTTCCCATAACTACTCTTTCTACAGTTCTTTTAATCACTACTCTATCAAAGACTGCTTCTCACATAATTGCTCATTTCATGACTACTCTACATAAAAGTAACAGGCAAGCAGTATCCAAACATGAGACATCAATAAAGGTAAGTAACTGGAGGAGTAAGCAGGAGAGGAGTTATAAGGATATTTAATGGTATAACAACATTCGAAAATGGCAGCTGTTAGAGAATGCTTGACCTATACCCATACTGGAGTCAAGAGACTACCAAGATAAGAATGGTGGTAGACTAATATATACCAAAGAGAGGTACTAGGATTTAGGTATCTTAAGTGAACAAGATCTTACCTTACTGGAGATATGAGACTTAGATACTTGTAAGAGGTGGATGGTTATCCTGCTGGGTAGAGTAACCAAAACAGTCAATTTGTATGCTACCCTTAACTACTCAATGGTGTATTGAGGTAGAGTTACCCTGCCTTTGGACTATAGTTACCCTGCCATGGACTACGAGGTACTCTAGTATGGAGTCAAGTTATCCTAATTTGAAAGTAACTTGTTATATAAGACTTCCAAAGACGTTAGGAGTACTAGGATCCAATACCCATGAACCACTCTAAGAAGAGTAACCCCACTCGAAATCGGAATCTCTAATCTCCAACACCTCTCTTTGAACCCCTTATGGGTCCTACTGTTAGGTGGAGACAACCTGTAAAGACTCAGAGTTGCCTAGGCCAACCAAGATTTATTTTGGTAGATGGAGATTGTCTAGAAAGGCTTAAAATATATATACTCATTTTGTTTATAACTACTAAGAGTAAGGTAAAGTAGGTAAAATGGAATAGAATCGTAAAAACAACATTTAATTGCTAAGGTCTCTTCTCCATTGCTTGATGATATCTAAAAGCTTAGTAGGCACTTCAATATTTATATTCTGTATCTGAGTATTCATAGACTACATCTATCTATTATACAAACTATGTACCTTTCTGGCTATAACTCGCAACATCAGGTATTCTTCAAAGGTGCGAATACCTAAAGACCCTGAAAATCAACACACCCTTTTCGGTAATTATGATATTACTAATAAAGAACTATACTGTTCCCAATAGTAATTATCTGATCTTCAGAGTTATTAGACTTATAGCCTATTTCTCATGTTGAATTGAGTTGACCTCAATTGTCTCCCTTATTGATAAAATGATCAGTTTCATCTTCAGGTTGTATCTGTAAAGGTAGTCACAATTTCAACCTTCCTAGGTCACCTGACTTTTAACCTCTATAACTCTGAATCCAATTAACAAATATCTTCTAAATAAGTTCTAACTAATTTGCAGGAAGTTATTCTACCAGATTAGTAGATAATCCCTTGATCGGTAACCCTTAGTTGCTCTGGATACCAGAGTTTCAGTCATTATTCTAGCATTGGAAATTATTCCTACAACCATAATGTATTTCTGAGTCCAGTTGTAATACTCTGTAAAGTCCACTAGCTTCTGTGGTAGTGTTTCTTAGAATTCTAGATTTTTCTAGTTATCATAGGGTAGGTGTGAATGTATTGGTCTCTTGTAGAGATACTTTAACATTCAATATCATATCTTTGTACAAAAATATCCAATTACTTACAGCTCTTTCCAAAGATGTCACATCTTTAAAGCCTAGTAACTCTCTGAGCAGTTGACAGATTCACTCCATTCTACTTCCCAGACTTAGCCAAAGGTCTCCTCTCATATATCCTGCAAACAGGGTTTGGTCAGAGAGATAACAGCGACATATATAATGTTATTCTTACACCTTAAATTCTGTGACCTTATAGTCACAGAACACAACTGAGATAGGTACGTATAATGATATGCAGGCACTATAAGGCAGCTGAACAGGGGTGTTCGAGACCAGAGATTCTGATTTCAAGTAGGGTTACTCTACTTAGAGTGGTTTCTAGGTATCACATCCCGGTACTCCTAAAACCTATGTGTTGTCACACATCTCTATCTCTGTTGCATTCTGTGACTAAATTGCCACAAAATTGAAAATGTTAGAATAATACCGTATACATCAATACTATCTATTCAACCAAATCCTTTTCGTAGAATATATAAGAGGAAACCTTTAACAAGGTCTAGGAAGTAGAACTGAGTAAATCCATTAACTGCTTAGAGAGTTACTAGGCTTTAAAGATAGAACATCTTTGGCATGTGCTGTAGGTAACAGGACGTTTTCATAAAACGATATGGTATTGAATATTAGCGGATCTCAACAAAGAGCCAACACATTTACATCTACCCTACGATAATTAGAAGAGTTTAGAACTCTTAGTAAATACTACCAAAGAAGTTAATAAACTTCAAAGAATATTGCAACTAGGTCAAGGGATGTGTTATGGTTGTGGGAATTATTATTAATACCATACAACTTGTCATAAATGTGGCTTAACGAGGAAAAGGTTTTCACATGACTCATAGTTATGAGTTATATGTATGATATATTAAGACTTTCATGCATATGACCATTTCAGTCAGATGACTCATTTATATATTTCACACATGACCTCATTATGAGATTATGGGTTTCGCACATGTGACTACTTTAGGTCATATAACTTGTTTATTGTATTATGATTGGTTTATAGTTTTGCACATAAAACTACTTTAGTCATATGACTTGTTTATGTGTTTTGTACATGATCTTATTATGAGGTCATGGGTTTCGTGCAGGTGACTACTTCAGTCCTATGACTAGTTTATTATGATTTGGTTTCGTGCTTGTGACTACTTTGGTCACATGACTGGGGTGTGAAGAATGACTATATAAAGGGTTGATAGGACCCTTGGAGGATGAGTTCTTCACGCATTATTCAAAGTACTTTTTCTACTTATTACTTATACTTTTATAAATATAAAACACCTTTATGCTTTTTACTATTATCACTACCTTTATTACTATTACAATGAAAAAGCTCTATGCAAGAGAGAGTTAGTGAAAGCCTACAATATGCTTTACAGATAGAAGATATTGGTCTTATACTATCAGTACTATAGGTCCAGGCCTAAGAGCTATTGTACATGAAAAAGAAGCAGAAAAGTATCATTCTCCATCACAAGGTACTAACTATACTAGGGGGAATTGTTATATATAAACCTCATAATAAGTCATGTGTACTAAATGCGTCGCATGTGTGAAACTCATGACTCATAAGTATGAGTCACACACAGAAGTTATAACATCATATGACTTACAACTGTGAGTCATCACATAACAATAAACACCTATAAAAAGCTTTCTTTCTCCTTGCCAGTCAGCCTTGTCACAATCCAGTTTGTGACACCATTCCATTATGGAATGGTTAAGCAGGTAGAAATGGTTATCCGATAGATACCATTCATACTCAGCAAATATGTGATAAGTTTTATAATAAAATTTTCACCTTAGAGTTACTCAAAGAAATTTTACTCAAATAACTAGTTATTAATAAATGAAAATATTAGCTAAATTACGCAATTATTCACTTATATTTAGGTCAAGTCCTTTCTTATTATAAAATTGTTTCTTTACTATACTGAAACTACTTCTGTGATTCCCTATTTGATGACCTATGGTCTATTATCCATAAAGGTTTAACTAGTTACTCTTCATCACTGATATATTAAGTAGGTAATAGTAAACTATGTTGAATAATCTAGTTACAAAGATTTGACAAGGTGGTAATTGGCATGCGAAGCAGCTCCATCATATGATGCGGATAGGCTCAAAGGATTTCATTAGTATATTACTGACTAGTACAACTTGAAGTATGTACATACTATATGGGGAGGAAGATGTTGGCATAGAATGCTGTAGAAATTGCAATTTTGATCTGTCATCAAATAATACCTGCATGAATGGAGTTATTATTGGCTTGTATCATCCTGAGAAAATTGTTGATAATAGCGATTAGAATTGATACATGCATATCATAGAAAGGTTAGCCTTCCTACCACGTAAGGACAGAATGACTGTCACCCCTCCCCGATAATAGCACCAAAACCCGCAATTACTGTATGTGATTCTGACCCTCCCTCCCACTATTTCTAAACTCTCCTATGATATGATCTTTTTTCCAGCACAATCTGATACTGGGACTATCACAACAATATTATTAAAGAGCAGTATTTCGCTCACCATTTGCCCCAATTTAACAATCACACTAGACAAAAGTTCACTGCACATAGAATATTCTCGCGCACCCGTCAACTAGTCTTGGCAAATTTCTTTATCGGTCGGACACTGTCCTTACTAACTAAGCGCTTCACACCCATCTGCCGCCACTCAGAGCTCCCACTCCATTACTGCTACAACTCACAGCCTTCCCCTCAACTGTCCCCGCTACCTAATTCTCAAGGAACATCTTCCTATTAGCATATTCAACATTTCGCTCTCGCAATGTCTACCTCTGCTCGCCGTCGTCTCATGAGAGATTTCAAGGTATCTACCCCACTCATTACGGCCAGCCAAAGAAGCCCGAGTCATGACCCAACCGGTACTAACGAGTTTTCTCCCAGAGAATGCAAACAGACCCGCCGGCCGGTGTTAGTGCGTCTCCCATTAGCGATAATGTCATGACCTGGTTTGTTCTCCACCCCTATCTCCCCACCCCCCTGCACTCTTTGCCCTTTGATTCTCCGAGACTCCTTCCCCGCTCCTCCCTCCCCAGCCCCTTCACATACTTACCATGCTCATAGGAACGCCGTTATAATTGGTCCTGTTGATACTCCATTTGAGGATGGCACTTTCCGTCTCGTTATGCATTTCGAAGAGCAGTACCCGAACAAGCCTCCGTCTGTGAAATTCATCAGTCAAATGTTCCACCCAAATGTCTACGCCACTGGTGAACTTTGTTTGGATATCTTGCAAAATAGATGGAGCCCAACCTATGATGTTGCCGCTATTCTGACCAGTATTCAAAGGTCAGTTCCTCTCTCTATTTTCTAATTATCTCGTCGCCATCGCGTCTACTCGCATCCCAGTCATCCTGGATATTCAGCTTTCATGACCTGGTCAGAGCCCGCTCTAACTCGCTCCCTTATCTAGTCTTCTGAACGACCCAAATACATCTAGCCCAGCCAACGTCGAGGCCTCGAACCTTTATAAGGACAATAAGAGAGAATATGTTAAGAGGGTCCGTGAGACAGTGGAGAAAAGCTGGGAGGGGTGTTGACACTCACCATTTACCGAAAGTAGTCCTATTCTCTTGGGCGTTGAAGGGATCTTTTTTCTTCTTTTTCTCCAGTCAATACCATCGTAGGTTTGAATGTCGTGGAAAACCTCAACGAGGCTATCAGAGGCCTGGTTCTTTCTTACTTTACTCCTCATACCATTAACTCTCATTACCCTACCTGGCTTTCGGTTTTTTGTGTCTTTGTTTCTCGCATTGGTTTCCTCCGCTCTGCAGGGTTTCATATTTTTCTGATATTTAATCCTAGGTCTTCCTTGATCTACTGTTTCCTAATAAACTCCTCCGTAATGAAATGTCGTGGTTCCCTTTGCTACATTACTTTTTGTTTGTATGATATCCAGGTGAATCATTAACACTAAGGTGATCATGCACATTTGCCGCATCCAGCGCTACACGTACTGATGAAATTCACCTCTTACTTTTGCTTGCTGCACCGGCGGCATAGCTATAACCCCCAATCGGCGCCGGTTTTCCTAATCTTGGAGCGATCAGTTCTGCGAGCCAACATTTTCATCAAAATCTGATAGATTAGTTTTTTTTTCCCAGATGAGTGAAACCAAATGTAAGTGCCTACTTTAGTAGTTGGAAGAGCGTTTGTCTCCAAAATCATGATCATCCTTATTATTATTTCTCCAATCATTAACCCCTCGATCTCCTCCCTACTCCTCTGAGCCGATATCAGTCTTTCTCCCGAGTGACGAACCCCCAGCAGGAGTGGAAGCGGGGAGGAACCCCGTCCCGAAGCAGCAACAAAGGCCCTAAAGGGCAACTCTAAGCCAGGGCTTCTTCCAACCAGCACAACCAACGAATTGTGCAAGAACTGGAGCAAAGGAGAAATTCGTCAACAAACCTCAACAACTGTGCTAACTTTCCTTTGCGTAACGTCCCTCTCACCAACGCGCAGTGAGGTCCAAACAAAAACTTTTAGAAATCATAACAAGAGGCACGAAGAATCTAAAGGGAGTTTTCTTTCACTCATTTTCACAACCCCACTCCAGGCCCCAGTTATTTCGTCCCGTGCTACTTCCAAGCTACCCGTGCGAGCGAGGTAGAAAACAACCTCAGGCGAGGACTTTTCTTTTCTTTCAGACAAACTCATCTCGAGCAAATATGGCGTATGATAGCCACTTCTATTCCTCGAGGCTCTAGTTGCTTATCTACTTACAGGAGCGGTGGTACCGGGAGCTACAACACCATTAAGGGTAAGCCAGACACCCCCTTGTTTAGGCCCGGGACACTTTCATTGATTTAAAAACACTCATCAGTGGTCGCTCGATTCCGTCCGCAGAACTCGACGGAGATAAGAGAGGGTGGTGAGCCGATTGTGTCGTTTCCCTCAGAGGACACATGCGAACTCATAGTATGTTTGAGAATATCTGGTTACCGCGGTTCGATGGCTTACATCCTCTGTAGAGCAAGGAGGCTGCCGGGGCTTTTACCTTTGACCGGGTGTTTGATATGAGCTCCAAACAAGCCGATGTTTTTGACTTTTCTATCAGATCTACAGTTGACGATATTCTCAATGGTTACAACGGCACAGTCTTCGCCTATGGTCAGACGGGCGCGGGCAAGTCTTACACTATGATGGGCGCAGACATTGACAATGAATCCTCCAAGGGTATCATCCCGAGAATTGTGGAGCAGATTTTCGCCTCGATCTTAGCTTCTCCTGGTAACATTGAATACACCGTCAGAGTCTCGTATATGGAGATTTACATGGAACGGATCCGAGACCTGCTTAATCCTGCGAACGACAATTTGCCAGTGCATGAAGAGAAGAGTAGAGGTGTCTACGTCAAAGGCTTGCTGGAAATTTATGTCTCAAGTGTTCAGGAGGTCTACGAGGTTATGAGGAGGGGTGGAAGTGCTCGTGCTGTCGCCGCAACCAATATGAACCAAGAGTCTTCGCGATCGCACTCCATATTTGTCATCCAGATCAACCAGAAAAATGTCGAGACAGGGTCACAAAAAGCCGGTTACCTGTACTTGGTTGATCTGGCTGGTTCTGAAAAGGTCGGCAAGACTGGTGCTTCCGGGCAAACCCTTGAGGAGGGCCAGAAAATCAACAAGGTCTCTTTCCGCTCTCGGAATGGTAATCAATGCCT